GCTGCTTACTAATTTAGCAGACGAAATGGCTTATTAAATTCTAATAGCAACAGCAAAACTGCAAACAACCTACAATTAACAGTGCAGGGCCCATTATTTTGTTAATACGTTCTCTTCTTTTGGCAAGTGTATGAGAACAAAATTTATAGAAGCAGATGGTCTTTTTCAGTAGATTATAGATGGTTTATTCCCCAGTCTTGGTATTAAGTGCTAATCGTGCATTCACTGTGAAAGACAAAAAGAAACAACGGCTGCCATCTTTGTTAGTAATTAACCAGCTTGACTTTGATTCCCACAATTTCCAAATTGTAGGCTTTGTTATATACATGTTTCTTTTCACCTAGTATCTGTTTCATCTGCCATGTCAATACATTATCTTTTTCAATCCTTTGTTTTGGTTTTTGGGGTAATCCTGCTTTCTTGGTGTTAATAACACAAAAAATACACAAAATTTTTTGTGAGAAATTAAAAATCAGATTTGTATTTGTTAATTTGTAAAACATGCCTGTTGTTTATGCTAAGTATAAGAAATGAGGGTAAAATAGATATTTTAATTTCTAACAAAATTTTGAGACTATATAATCATCTAAAGTTTTAAGAAATAATTTTAATTTCCTGTTAAATGTATGATAACCATATGCTTTTATGCCCTCTCTGTCTCAGAACACAAAGACTAAATGAAAAGAAAAAAGCAAAGTGTTCAAAACATGCTCCCACAAATGATAAGATGGGACATTAACATGAGGAAGTCAATAAGGGTGTCAGTGCATCAACATATTTAAATACTGGTGATTTAAATAAAAGTGTAACAAATTGAAAATAAAGAGTACTCAAGTAGATATGAGGAGAGGCTAAAATCATGCTGAAGTGAATAATATTTAGAATAAATCCAGAAATTGAGTTCTTACTGTATTTCTTAGATACTAGGAAGTAAACTCCAGAAGCAACAGGGAATGTCCACAGACTCTTGAGATAGGATGTAATAAGAGGAATTATTATATTTTATTTCGATTTTAAAATAATATACAAAATATTATGAAGTAGACAAAAAAGCATTCTGTTAACTGTTAACTCTATAGGATAGACTCCTACAGGGTTCTTTTAGCCAGCCTTTTGATTAGTTGGAAATTACTGACTAATAGAATTCAGCACTGAATCAGTATGTATGGTATGTATAAAACTGGTGCTAAGAGTTTGTAAATTTGCATATCCAGTGATAAAGTTGTTCCAAGGAGAAAACACCTAAAATAATGAGGGTTTGGTAACCAGATCTTTCATAATAGAGCCATCACAGCTAAAATCCTCAAAAATGAGCTAAAGGGAAATGTAGAACATATGTTCTTTCTGTAGCCTTGAACAAAATACACAAAACTACTATTTTGTTACTATTAAATTATTCCCAACCTAGATAATTTTATTTTTCAGGGGATTCTTAGCAGTGTTAGAAACATTTTGCTTGTCACAACTGGGAGTGGGTAGTGCTACAGGCATTAGTTGATGGACAGAGGTCAGGGATGCTAGTCAGCATCCTGCAGCATACATGTTAGCCCCACAACAGAGAATGACCCAGCTCCAAATGTCAATATTACCAGGGGAAGAAACCCTGACTCACTGCAAATGTTAGCATAACAGTAGCAGATCTTGTATAGACATTTTCAGAAATGGAACCAGTATAGCCTTCATATAAACCTTCTTTGTGTCTTTCGAAAGAGTTGAAGGTATTATTCTTAATACCTTTGATAGATAAAATCTTGAACTGCAGAAAAGGCTAACCACATACATAAGGCAGCTAGGATTCTTTTTTAATATTTTATTATTTTATGTGTACGAATGTATTGCCTGCATATATGTAAGTGCACCCATGTCCTGCAATGCCCACAGAAGACAGAAGGAATCAGATCCTCTGGAACAGGAGTTACAGAAGGTTGTTAGCTGCCATGTGGGGGCTGGTATTTGAACCCAGGTCTTCTGCAAGAACAGCCAGTGCTCTTAACTGCTGAGTCATCTCTCCAGCCCCAGTAGCTAGAATTCTTTAAAAACCAAACTAAATTATCCAAATGTCATTAAGAATACTGACCTCATCTCAAAACTTTATAGTTAAAAGTACTGAACTTGAATCCAAGGCATGACCATTCATTCATTTATCATAAGTGCTTATTGTATTGTCTATGCTGGAAGGTGTTAGGGATATAAAGGTAGATTCCATACTGACCCAGCCCTTAAACTCCAAGTACATCATTTCCTCTGACAATTTCTTTTCCATTTTTCTTTTCTTATTTATGTACTTATTTGATTCAGAGTCTCACAGTGTGACTCAAGCTCGTCTGAACTCACTAACCCAGCCTGGCCTGGAACTCGTGGAAGTCCTCTTGCCTAATGATCCTCAATGCTTGGATTACAGGTATGTGAAACCATAATGCCTGAGTTTTGGAGACAAGCCCTGGGTAGTCAAAGGGACAGTCACCGATCTCATATATCACTACATTAAAAAAAAAGAAAATCACTTCATTGGAACTCTAGATTTTTTTAATTTTAATTTTTTAAATTTTTATGTCATGAATATTTTGTCTGCATGTATGTAAGTGCACATGGAGGCCAGAAGAGGGCGTCGGATCCCCTGAAACTGGAGTTGCAGATGGTTGTTAGCTGCCATGTTAGTGCTGGGAACCGAACCCAAGCTTGGTCCAACAGAATGTGGACAGAAATGGTACCAAGCCAGGTCGTGAAAACCTCCAACAAGGAAGCCCCTTTTGTCCCATCCTCCCCAATCTTGCTTTTGCCATCTGGATGTTAAAAGCTCAGGTATCCTTGGAAGTCATGGACTGTGCCTGAGAATGACCAAGTCTCTGTTCTGCACGATAGACCATTGAACAGGCAGGTGGCTATGACCATCATCACTCCTACCATCAATTGTACTGTAAGTGAAAGAGAATGGTTTCATTTTAAGCCACTACTCTTCTGGGCTCATCTGGTACAGATACTAAGCATTACTGGCCATTCTTGCAAGCTGTTGCATGCCTACTTACAGAGAGAAAGAGCCACAGTGATGAGATTAGGTGAATGTTCCAGTAAATAGCTCTTTTTCAG